TAGAGTTGAAGAAAACCACCTTCTGTAAGTGCCAGTCATTTGGAAGCACATTTTTTGTTTATTTTAGATTTTTAATAAAATATTTGCTTAGGGCCCCAGCAATGTTTCAGTGGCTAAATCCTCACCTTGCAAGCACCGGGATCCCATACAGGCACCAGTTCAGGTCCCAGCTGCCCACTTCCCATCCAGCTCCCTGCCTGTGGCCTGGGAAAGCAGTCAAGGATGGCCCAAAGTCTTGGGACCCTGCACCCACATGGAAAACCCAGAGGAGGCTTCTGGCTCCTGGCTTCAGATTGGCTCAGCTCTGGCCACTGTGGCCACTTAAGGAGTGAACCAGCAGATGGAAAATCTGTCTCTTGTTCTCTCTGTGAATCTGCCTTTCCAATAAAAACAAATCTTTAAAAATAAGCAATAGAAAGCTAAGGAAAATAAAAATTCTTGGGGACTGGGTTTCCTGGTCCAGGTCAGTTGGCCTTCCTGCACAGTGGGAGTTGGGCCCGTGAGATCCAGGGGGCAGGGGCTCCGGCGGGGACCAGGTGATCTGGCCTGAGTCCTTTGACCCATGTGCAAGGAGGGAGCCAGGCGGGTTTGCTCTGGAGAGCCCCCCAGCCAACACTGGCCCAGGTCTCCTAGCCTGGGGTGCCAATGTTGCTGGGTGAAGGTCACAGGCCACCCTGTGGCATGCTTATGGTGGCTTGGGGCTGTGGGCTTGCCAGGGGTCTGAAGGACAGCACGGGTGCGAGGCGTGAAGGGACATGAGGGTGGGGGGGCTCAAGTCCAGGGTTGGTGGACTGACGAAGTGTATGTGTCAGAACTGTGCCTTTACAGTGGAAAAGATGGAGAAGTGGATGCAGGCTCAGGTGCACATGAAGGATATGGTGGTCCACTGAGACTTACAGAGGACATTTGGTACCAAAGCAGAGGAAGGAGAGCAGAACAAATTGGACAACTACACCAGCCAAATGATGACAGCAAATCTCTGGGCAAATGGAGACCGTAAGGTGGACTGTGTCAGCCAATGGCCCTTGGAAGGATTTCCTCATCCTTGGATTAGCGAGATTAATAGCATTCCAGAACTATCGAAACCACTTAAGCAGAACCCTCAGAGCATGCTCCACATGGCGAACCCTGGGTACTGGGGCAGTTGGGAGCTGGGTATGGCTTCTCCCCTTATTTCTTCCCTTCCCCCAGATACAGGAGGAAGAAAAGAAAATTTGGAAACAATGGTCTCATTCACTTTCCCCCTTTCCCCTAACCCTTGATCCGTCCCACTCCAATCAATTATGTTTATGCAAAAAAACCAAAAAAAAAGTAAAAAATATTTTTTCCCTTAACTTTAGTCTGGTTACCACGTGAAATGTGAATACAGGGTTGTCACAGTAGTGCTGCATGGTAAGCTGCCACCTGTGACATGGACATCCACAATGAAGTGGACAGAATGCTGCTCCCAGTCCTGGCTGCTCTGCTCTGAAACCTCTGCTTCCTGCTGATGCCGCTGTGAAGACAACAGAAGATGCCCCAAGTCCTTGGGGCTCCAGTCATCCTCACGGGTGATCTGGACACAAATCCCGGTTCTGGGGATGTCGTGATGGCTCCATGGGCTAACCCTCCACCGGCAAGCTTGGGCATCTCATGTGGGCACTGCTCAACTTCCCATTCAGCTCCCTCCTTGTGGCCTGAAAATCAGCAGAAGATGGCCAAAATCTTTGGGACCCTTCACCCACGTGAGAGAGCCAGAGGAGGCTCCTGGCTCCTAGTTTCGGATCAGCTCAGTCCAGCTGTTGAAGCCATTTGGGGAGTGAACCGGTGGATGGAAGATCTTTCCTTCTCTCTACAAATCTGCCTCTCAAATATATAAAGACATAGATAGACAGACAAGTATAAAGGATTAAAAAATAAAACTGGAGTCAGTACCGAGGCAAGTGGGTTGTCATCTCGTGTGATACTGGCATCCCATGAGCACCTGTTGAGCCTCTGCTGCTCCACTTGTAATCCAGCTCCCTGATAACAGGCCTAGGAAAGCAGCTGTGCTTGGTCCCCTGCCAAGGTGGGAGACCCAGATGGAGTTCCAGTCTCCCGGCTGGTGAGGCCAGCAGGTAGGTGGCCTCTTCTCTCTTTCATCTGCTTTCCATAAAGGCAAATACAGTAAAGCAAAGATTAGAGTGGTGCTGTTCATGGAGGACAAATCATTTTTAAAAATTTTAAAGAGTTAACTTGCAAATATTTGCACAGGGAGTTGCTGTGCCGAGAAGGACAGGGGGAAGGCAAGAAGGCCCCAAATCACAGATGTCCAAGTCCTTGGCTTGAATCTCTGAGTGGAAGCAGGTAACACTCCAGACGGGACACAATGGAGGAAGAGTCCTGCTTCTCATGCATTCAGTTTCAGATGTTTGTTCTATCTCCATTGGGGGGATGACAATGAGGAACTTGGATGCAGGACGCTGGGACTCAGAAACGGACAGTTGGAGACATAAATCTTACGAGAGCCAGTACCTATAGTATTGAAATCTCCGTAACCAGCTGCCATGAGGAAAGAATGGGCAGAAGAAAGTAAAAGCAGAAATACAGCTGTATTCTAGAAAAACACGTAAGCATTACAGTTCGCAAACACACAAAGTGACACACGTGATTCCTGTACTTACGGAGCCACTGGGAATAATCTCTCTACTCAGTTGTGGTTGAAAAACAGTTCTGGGAGATGCACAACCAAGACTGTAGTCCTTACAATAAAAGAACACGGTGGAAGCACAGTGTACCACAGGCAAAGGAAACACTTGGACAGAAAAGACTCAACTTCCAAAACGAGTATGACAGGTTAAGGTCGCTGAGTACGGACAAGCAACCACCAGCTAGGTACTACCGAAGCCATCAATGACTGCCTTGTTCAGCGCCAGAGTTGAGAAAGCATTTTCGAATGACTGAAGAGTGAGGAGGCAGGTGTAATAAGATCCTGAAATGTGACAAGCGGGATTCACTAAGTGAAGGAGTCTGGCAGAGTACAAGGAAGCTATTAGTTAATCCCTTGAGGCACATCCCAGCCGGCGCCCAGCAGGCAGCACTGAATGAAGGCAGTGAAGGGCACAGGCTCTCCGACAAGCGCGCTGCCCTGCAGGCTGAAGGAAGCGGAGTCTATGAGACCTCTGAAATAAGGCTGGGGGAGGAGTGTAGAAGTGCTGTGCCATCTTTTAAAAACAGGGCTCCGACCCTCCAAAAGGCCTGGGACCCTGAGGAAGAGAACAGCAGTCCTTTGAAGGACCCCAGCTGAGGACTGAACCGTGCAGCCCCCACTCCCTCCCAAGCCTACTATGCTTCCCCACCCCCATCTCCAGGGAATGGGATTCTGAGATGAGACTTCCAAAGACAGAATTAAGTTCAATGAGGTCATCAAAGGGAGGGTCTAAGCCAATGACAGGTGGAGGGAGATTAGGACAGAAGAAAAACCACGGGAAGAACACAGGCTCCCTCTGGCACCTTAACATCAGCCTTGAACCCCCAGGAATGGTGGGGAAAGTACTGCTTAAGCACCTAGTCTAGAGTGCCCAGCACGGCAGCCCTAGCAAAGCCTGGTACCAATCTTACATCCCTCTCCCCTGCTCCATCCCCAGTCTAACCAAAACCCAAGGCTGCCGCACAAGCTCTCAGTTCCCAGCCAATCTCAACCACAACACAACCCCTTCCTCCACATATCCCACCTTTTATCCCACAATGAAGGGATGGCATTTTAAGAAAAACGTGTTAAAACAGCTATAGAGAGGTGAGGGGAACCAGGCATCCTGACACCCCTAGGTTAAGTTTGGCAAACATTTTATCCAACATACAGCGTGGTCTGTCCGGCTCACTCCCACGCCCAGGTCATTCAGGCCGCTCCGGGTTCGAATCAGAAAGGATAACACATGTCTTCCTCCTTCCCCACACCCACGCAAGTCAGCAAGTCACCAAGAATCCGGTTCTTGTTACTTAATGCTAGACACAGACAATTACCCTAAGACGCTGACATCACAAGCAGGAAACGGAGATTATTCGATAATTGCTTTATGTCATCAGAAAAAACTATGAGAAGCTTTACCCGTGGTGTCACGCAGTAAGCCAAAAAAAAAAAAAAAAGTCAAACAAATTTACAAGTATATAAATACCTATACAAGTCCATGCACAGGCTGTGTGCGAATCAGCACACGAATTGTGTAACAGCAAGCTCTTCACCGTTTATGAATTCAACCCACACTTCCGTGTTGTCCATCCAAATAAACCCCCTGACGTTTTTCAGATTTTCACGACTGTTCGGCCTCTTTGTCGGGAGGTCAGGTCAGACATATATATATATATACATATACATATTTCCCAACAATGCCCACACACGGCCTTCAGAAGGAAGTTTTAACACCTTTTCATTCCAAGAAAGGAAATACCCGTAAGACACAGAACACAGGTGGGTTACCTGACCCTGCCAGTTTAATATAGCTGGTGTTTCTGAACCTTCTGCCTGGCCTCAACATCTCTGCTTGGCATTCCGTTTCCCCCTGAGCTCGAAGTAAACAAACAACTTCATGTGTACTGCCAGGAAAAAAATTTTTTAAAACGACTCTGCTCCGATCCCTGATCCAGTGAAGGGAACTAAAACCTTACCGTTTAAGGTCCAAAAAGAAAAAAGAAAAAATAGGAGGAAGCAATCGCTTCACCTTCTCATACAGGCCAAGGTTAAAATCTCGGCAGCCAGTGGTGGTGAAGAGGGCGGCCGCGGAGGCGCTCGCTGTCCGGGCATGACCCACCGGCGGTCGGGATGCCCAGCGGGGGACCCAGTCCTTCCCTCTCCGCCAGGCCCACGGGCCGGGGGTTCGGGGCCACCCTCTCCTCCCGGCCCACCCCCGACAGGTCCGGGCACTGCAGGTGGCCCTCGGGGGTGGCCGTGCCTCCATGCCCCGTGCGCCCGGCTCGTCCGGAGCCAGAGCGGAGCGGAGCCAGGGCTCGGGGCTGGGGGAGACGGGGCGAGGCACCCCACTCACCGCACACCATCAGCAGCAGCACGATGAGCAGCGTGGCCACGAACACCAGCAGCGTCAGCCCCACGTTGTGCCACATCTCGGCGGGGAGGACGGCGGCGGAGTCAGGACGGAGGGGCGCGCGGGAGGACGGGCGGCCGCGCTGTTAGCAGCGCTTTTAGCGGCATGGGGGGCGGGCGCCCCCAGGGACGGGGCGGCGGGGAGGCGAGGCCCGACCCTCCGACCCTCCGGAGCGGCAGCCCCCCGGGGCGATCTGGGCGTGGGACGGAGGTGGGCCGCGGGAGGCGTCCCCTCCTTTATCCCATCACCGCTCCGGGGAGCCGGGGCCGCGGCGCCTGGAGACGCCGACTGTGGCCGGATGCGCTTCCATGGAGGACGCTGCGCGCCCGCAGAGAGGACGGCCGCTGAGCACCAGGGCACTCGGAGGCCGCAGGGCCTTCCTCGCCAGCCGCCCGAGGGTCTCCCGGTCACCCCACACCGGGGCACCGAGGTCAGCGTCTCTCGGCGGCCGCCACAGCTGCCCCTCGGCCCCAGTGCCCTCCCCCTGCGGCAGCTCATCAGCGAGCGCCGCCTCCATTCGCCGGCTCTGCGGCGCGGGGATGCCTGGGAAATGGAGTGCGGCGCCAAGCGGAGATGGCAGGGCGCCGTGGGTCGCAGGACTACAACTCCCAGAAGGCACCGCCCGCTCGAGGGCAGTGCTGTGCCCACCCGCTTGTGTCTGTCTCAACCCTCGCTTGTGGGCTGGTGTTCTGGGAACCCGCGCCGCGGATTTAGTTCTGGGGCCCTGAGCCAGGCGCCCAGCGGGGTTTCAACCAGGTGTTTCTCCACACACGAAGTCGTTTGTTTGAAGCCGAGGTCCACAGCCTCCCTGGGCTGGAAAGGGGGATCCCATGCCTGAAAACTGGTTGCACGTGGACCCAGCCGACTTGCGGGCGGCGGCGTAGGTTAAGTGCTGGGGGCTTGGGAAGGAGTACTGGAGCGCCTGCCCGCGTTTCCGGCTGGGCTGCTTCATCTCATTTTTCCTATAACGAATGCTGTGTGCTGCGTTTTCGTAGGTAACGCATCCCAGAAATGGCCCAGGGTGAATTCCCTGCTAAGCCCTCGTTCTCCCTCCTGAGTTATAAGTTTGCAGCAGCCGGTTCCTGGACACCAGGCAGCACGTGGTTGCGCTGGCTCAGACGTTTCTCTGAAACAGCAGTGCGCCTCAGGATGAAATGGAAACTCCCCAACTTCCCCCCGATGGCATTCATTCCTTAAAGAGGCGCCCTGGAAGACAACGGTATAAATCAGTCCCTTCTTTTCGTGAGGAATCAGCCTTTCCGTTTTCCTGTGACTCCTTGAAATTCTTTTTTACTCCCCTACAAATTCTTGTTCACTGTTCACTTCAGTCTGCAAAAACAAAACTTAAGCGGGTGTGCCTTTTGCCCGATGAACCTTGAAGACCCCCAGCTGCCCTGACTGTATGGTCTACGTTTCCAGAGAAAAGCCTTTATGAACAAATACGGTGTTGAAAACCCATGAAGAGATAATTACTGACATTGCAGATTATTATTTTTTTAACATTTGTTTATTATTTTTATTGGAAAGATATATAGAGAGGAAGATCTTCAGTCCACTGATTCACTCCCCAAGTGACCGCAATGGCAGAAGATGAACCAATCCAAAGCAGAGAGCCTGGAGTTTCTTCGTGTCTCCCATGCAAGTGCAGGGTCCCAAGGCTTTGGGCCGTCCTCAACAGCTTCCCCAAGCCACAAGCAAGGAGCTGGATGGGAAGCGGACCTCTGGGATTAGAACCAGAGCCCATGTGGGATACCAGGGCATGCAAGGCGAGGACTTTAGCCATTAGCCACTACGCCAGGTCCCGTTGCAGACAATTTAATATAGAGTTCCTGGGAAGAGTGAAGAAAGCTGGTACAACCAGCAGATGGTTACCAAAAAACAAACTATTTATGCTTTTTTTCATGGACAGATCAATTCTATTTCCAAAATCAGATGTACTTTATTGAAATCTAGTTGAGAAGAACAGAAAGCTTTCTTTTAAAAATGTTTTACTGACTTATTTTCAAAATCAGAGCGACACAGCCCTTCCATTTGCTGGCTCATGTTCCAGATTGGCAGCAATGGGACAGGCCAAAGCCAAGAGCAAAGAAGAGCTGCATCCCAGTTACCCACATGGGTAGCAGGGGCCCAAACACTTGGGCCTTCTTTATTTAAAAAAAATCATGATATGATATATTTACCTGAAAGTATTTAGAGAAAGATCTTCCATTCGCTGTAAACCACAATGGCCAGATCTGAGCCGGTCAGAAGCTGGGAGCCAGGAGCTTCTTCTGGATCTCCCATGTGGGTGCTAGGTCCCAAGAACTTGAGCCATCATCTACTGCTCTCTGGCACATTAGCATGAAGCTTAGTTGGAAGTGGGAGCAGCCAGGACTTGAGCTGGCAGCGGTATACTTGATACTGGCATAGCAGACATGGTTTCATTCTCTTTGCCACAATATCATCCTGAAAGCATCTTTTTTAGAACCTTTTTAGAACTTCACTCATGAAAAAAAAAAAAAATTGAATACCCATAAGTACCAGGTGCGCAGTTCCAGGACTCTAGCACTGAAGAAGATGAATAAGTGCTTACAGGTGGAGATGGAAACAATAAGCATCAACAGGAAAACAGATTAGCAGAGAGGAGAGGCCAAGAGAGAGCTCTTCCATCCTCTGTCCACTTCCCGAATGCCCGCAACAGCCGGAGATAAGCCCGTCTAAAGACAGAAGCTTCTTCCATGGGTGGCGGGGCCCACAGACTTTAGCCGTTCTTCTCTGCTTTCCCAGGCCACAAGCAAAGAGCTGGATTGGAAGTGGAACAGCTGGGGCTGTCTTTTAGTTGAAAGACAGAAACAGAGAGAGGTAAGAACTTGTAGATTCTTAAATCCTGCTGGTGAGATCAAAATGGGGGTGTTGGTTCAGGGTGAGGAGATCAGGGAAGACCTATCTGAGGGCATGACAGTTTAGCCTGAAGGACAAGAAAGATAAAGGGAAGATCTCATGGGCGCGCATATCACTGTACCTGGAGCAGTGAGTGGAGACGTTGTGGGAAGTCATTCCTCTGAAGTGTGGGCAGTGCTCTCAGCCCTGAGGGCACAGTGAAAATCACCAAGGGCAAACGTAACACTGCAAAAGGCAAGACCCTACCCCCACACCGGGTGATCCTGAAACTGCAGGTGGGGCCCAAGCCAAGATTTAAAAGCTAGATGGTAGTTCTGACGTGCATTCAGATGCATTCCACAACGGTGGTGCACAAAGATAGGTCACAGGACCAACACCATCAGCACCACTTGGAGGCTTATTAAGAATGTGAATTCCCATGGCCAACACCATGGAGTAGTAGATTAAACTTCCCTCTGTGGTGCCAACATCCCATGTGGATGCTGGTTCGAATCCCAGGCTGCACTCCGAACCAGCTCCAAGCTTATGGCCTAGGAAAACAGCATAATATGGCTCAGGTCCTTGGACCCTTGGATCTACATGGGATTCCAGAAGAAGCTGTTGGCTGCAGACCAACCCAGCTCTGGCCATTGCAGACATTTGGGGAGTAAACCAACAGATGGAAGATACAGGAAAAAGAGAAAAGACGGAAGGGAGGAACATGGACTCCTAGATCCTATGCAACCTCTGTGGTTCTAAATGAAAGTGGTTCTTTGGATGGTGATACTGATCATGGACCTGGTGAAATGAAAAGTGGACAGCTAACAGGATACATTGTGGAAGGCGGAATCTTTTGGGTTAGCTGATGGGTGAGATGTGTGAGGGCCCGTGAGGAAGAAAGAAGATGTGGAGAAAAAGGCACATTTATGTATTATTGTGAGAATGTAAACTAGTAGAGCATCTATGGAAATAATTAGGGGATTCCCTAAAATATTAACAACTTGGGTATACGCATGCGTGTGTTAGAGATGTGACATACACTCAAAGAAAGTGAAAATGCAACCTTTAAGAAAAGTTTAAGAACGAATGAAATCCAGTCATTTGGAACAAGATATATAAACCCAGGGGCATCATGTAATGTGAAACAAGCCAGGCTGGAAAGACAAAGACTGCGTGACCTCATTCCTACATGGAACTGAAATCTGGAAATAGTGTCATGGTGGTTATCATGGACTGGGGAGCGCAGGGTGGGAAAGTGATCCATGGATGGTGAGAGGCTAGTCCAAGGATACGTGGATACAGTCAGGAGTAAGTTCAGAGACCTTATGCTATATGGTGTGGCTACTGTACAGCTAATGATAGCATCTCGCATCCCTGAAAGCACAAGTAAAATGGGTGCTAAGTGTTCTTGCCATAAAAACGCAGAATGGGCGCTGTTGAGTCGGACTGCTGCTTGGAATGCCAGTATCCCATATTGGAATACAATTAAAGTCTTGGCCACTCCACTTTTAAAATTTATTATAGAAATTTGTAAATTTTTATTGAAAAGGTAGATCAACAGAGAAGGATAAAAAGATTTTCCATCCGTGGCTTCACTCCCCCCCCCCCCCAAATGACTACAACAGCCAGAACTATGCTAATCAAGCGTCGGGAGCTTCTTCCAAGCCTCCCAAGCAGGTGCAAGGACCCAAGGCTTTGAGCCATCTTCCACTGCTTTCCCCAGGCCACAAGCAGAGAGCGTGAAGTAGAGCAGCCAGGATTCGAACCAGTGCCTATGTGGGATCCTGGCGGTTGCCAGGCAAGGATTTAGCTGCTAGGCTATCGTGCCTGGCCCTAAATGTTTCTATTTTTTCTTCTGTGTCTTTGTAGGAGGAAGGAGAGGGGACCACTCCTTGCTTTCAAACCACATCTTTCACCTGTGTGTTGCTGGACAGTTACTTGATGACACCTTAGAGACCCAAATGTGGGGAAGAGTGTTCCAAGGATGTTACTTAAGTAGTTTTAGTGGTTCTGAGACATCAATGGCTTTGTTGCAGAGTTGAGAAAAATATCTCAAAGTCTGTTGACTAACCAAGTCCACCTTAGTGCATCCACAGGCCCAGGAACATGTTGCAATATTTGGCCAGGAGACTGGTGTAACCTGTTCTACTTTTCATCCTGTGACAAGGCAGTCAATGTCCCTTGCTGGCCTAGATGAGCTGGCTGTCATATCACCTGTGTACATCTGGGCATGCTGTCTACTGCACAGGCACCAGCAACTGAGGAGGCCCAATCCTGACGCATGTTCTCTAAAGTTAGACCACAGTACATACTGATTTTTCCTGTGGCTGGGTTTTGAGTCCAGCCATCTAGTTGGGGAGTGAGTCCCCCAAGAAACCTTGCCTGGGGTGACTTCAGACTTGTGTGTGTGTCAACCAGTGCAGGGTCAGGTGTGGCCCACTCCCAGTCTTAGCTCTTGCCAGCTGGTAAAGCACCCTAGCCCAGTCTGTTCCACCTCCAGCACTCAATGTGAACTGGCAGGTATTGTGAGCCAATCTGGCCTGGCCTGAACCCCATCCTGGTTCTCGCTCATGCCGGTGTGTGCTGTGGACTGGCCTAGT